ACTTTTCATTCTTCATCTGTGGACACATATGTATTGCTGCAAAACAGCTTGCTTCTTCAGTGAGCACAGTCTGATTTGACTTCTGCTAAAAGCGCATCTGGAATCTTGGCTGTGAGATTTGCCAAATCATGAACAAAGTTATCATCCTTTAGCTGCTGGATCTGGAGAGCAAGCTCATAGTGCTGTGGCCTCAACAGCTCACAGCCGTGTGAGAGAAGCGACAGCTGTACCCACGGCGTGTTAGGGGGACATTTGGCCTTCAGAGAGTCTGGTATATTTGAAAACTGGCATTTTCACCAAAGATGTATCAATGAAAGTATAATTCTTGGATGTGCAGAGGTTGTTCTTGTTAGGGCTCCTGTCAGTACTAGGCTTCCACAATAGGTCAGCCTACAAGTTACAGATGTGCACCCTGCTCTTTAGGACCACCTTTTCCACCTGAGTTGAACACTGCTTCCAGAACACAAGACGATGTGCCTGTGATGTGGGGATAGAAGAACCAGGGGATGGGATGTTTTGATATTTACCAGTGGATTTTCCTGTCTGCCAAAAAGGCCAGCTCTGCTTTCTAGGCTGGTGACCCTCCAGCTCTTTCTTGCTGGGCCCTGGTTGGGGCACAGGAAGCTTTGCAAGTAGAAGTCAGAAATGGAGGCTCAGAGAGGGAGCTCCCTTCGGCTCTGGATTGAAGTGGGGCTGCTCGCTGTCCAGCTGCAACTCCTTGCAGAGGCCCTACAGCACCCACTACCAGGTCTGCATCCTGATAGTTCTCCAGCCCCTGGAACAGTCTCAGGCCACTGCGCCCACACCTGCAGCTCCACACGGTGAAGGCTGCTGGCCCTGTGAGCACTAGGATCTGGCCTCGAGGGTGAGGTTGGAGCCCTAAACTCACTGGTGGTCCTTCACCTCCCCCCCCTCAACTGGAGTTGTGAACAGTCAAGCATGGCCCCCATATGGGGACTGCTTTTCTTGCTAGCTCACCCACGGCCAGAAATTGTGGAGCGAGCAGGGTGCCCAGCCCTGGTAATGCTCTCTTGGCTGCTGTCCATCTGAATCCCCATTCTTCTGTCTTACTTAGACGCTGCGAGTGTCCCTGACAGTGGAGCCAGAGGCCAGCTTCGTTCTGTGGCGGTGTTCTTCCCAACAGCCTTTGTTTTTAAAGAAGCAAACCCTTCTTTTCCTTTTCACAGTTTTAATCACTGAAAGGGTAAACACCAAACTCTCAGAGGGTGCTCTCTGGGCACCAGGGTTAGCAGATCATTCCCTCAGTTTCTATTTGATGCATTTCCTGGCTTGATTTTTTTTTACAGTGAGACATAAAAATTCCATTTGGAAATATGAATGTTTAATAAATTAAACAGAAGAAATCCATTTTAAGCAGATTATACCTCATACCTGTGAACTGCTCAGCTGTACTTGGAGAGGACTCTCCCTCCTCCGTGCCCACCCTTCCCACTAGATGAGGGTTTTCTGCCCACCTGTCCTTCTTGTTGTAATGAGGTGTTGGGAAGCTTTCTGGGGATGATTTCTGGGCTTCTGGTGGCCAGACTGGGAGCTCCTATCCTGAATAGGGGGGTCCCACTAGGAACTGAGTGTAGAAGAGCATCGAGTACAAGATCAGGAGCTCTTGGGCAAAATCCACAGACACCCATCTGCCCAGTGAGGAAGGTCATTAATGTATTCACCCAGCCTTGCGTGAGCACCTGCTGTTTGCGAAGCATGCTCCATCCCTAGGGCTACACAGGCAAGGCAGGCAGTGTCCCTCCCTGTGCAGCTCACTGTCTAGTGTGGTTCAGTTCTGTCTGGGGGAGGGGATGGCCAGTGGGGGAAGGACACAGCAACAAAGCACATAAATTACAAGTGTGTGGGTATCATATGATTAGGTTAATAAGTTATTTTTATGGTTGGGGTTTTTTTGGTCATAATAGCTGTCTGAACAGGTCTGAGGTCATCACAACCTCAGCTCACCCATCACCTGTGTACCTGAGATGGCCGCGAAGCTGCACTCCTTCGTTACCTGCGCGGGGGTCAGCGTGCCCCAGCGGGAAGGGGGCTCCTTGCCTGGAGAGAACTGGAGCCACACAGGAATTTGCCCTTTTGTGAGGATGGCGATGATAGCGATGGTTGGCCCAGATGGCCTCGGGTCCCTTCTCGCTCTCAGAATTTGTGGTTTGCTCCCAGAGATTTTCAGGGTTCCCTGGGGCTTCCACGTGCGTGCAGCCAGGGTGGAGAACATGTATGAGTTTGACATCCTCGCTTGATGCCAAGGCCAAGGGGTCCTCTTCCTTGTTACACGCGTCCTTCCTCACTCTCAAGACTAGAGGTGTCCCCGGACAACTGTGTCCCCTGAGGTCTGCTGCCCCACGTTACCCCATAAGGGGGTTAGCTGTGACCAGTTGGCCCTACTGGACTCATGGATGACCCTGCCCTGGCCTCACTGGTCAGCAGGGATAGAGGTGAGCCGAGTGTCCGGCTAAGGTGAGGTTCTTCTGGCCTTTGCCCCCCGCCCTGCCCACTTTACCCCTGTCTCCAAGGTGCTTTGCATATCAGGCAAAGAAGAAATGTCCTTCTTCCGGAAGTACTGATGAAGGTGCCCAGAGCACAGCTCCCACCTCACCCCCACTCTCCTGGGGCCCCCAGAATGCTGTGAGCTGGGACAGTGACAGCTTTGGCCAGCTTTCAGGATGGCCAGACTGCGGGCCCCATTTTCTCCAGTCAGCCTGTGCGGGTGGTCGGTCGCTGCCCCTGCCCTGAAAGTGGAGCCAGGGAGACTCTTGTGCTTAAAAGACGCTTTAGAGATCCTGGCCCCAGGTCCTGTCTTACCTAGTCCTCTGTCACTACGGTCACATGCTTTTCTATGGGACTTTTTCCTCTCTCCTTCTCCCAGTGACATTCCCTTAAGCTTCCAGTGTCCGTGGATTTATTGTAACTACCCCTGTGCCCAGCCTGGGGCCCAGGAGCACACAATGACTTGCACTCACAGAGGAACCATTAGCCCTACTGATAAATGGATTAATTTGGTCCAACTATGTATATCCAGATACATAGTCTTGTCATAGATCATGATTTCCTTGCTCAGGCACAGCTGAACAATTAAAAGGTAATACTCTGAAACAAGTCTGGAGGCTTTAAGGAGGCCAACTTACTTACACATGAGTATTGAACGTGAACCTCAGAAGTGCCGTGGCCAGTGCGGAAGGACCCAAACGGTGGTTGTCAGATAAAACGGGGAACCCGAGGGCTCAGTCTGAGGACCAGACACAGACACCTCATTGGGTGATGTCAGCACATACTGCTGTTGTTTTGAGGTCTGGCGGTCTCTTACTGGATGTCTGCTTGGTTAATAAGGGGGCATGATATTTTGGTCCAAGGCTAAGTATTCTTGTCAGTCATGAAAATATGCAGACCTTTGCTTGCTAGCTGTGCCTCATGATAAGGAGTTTGCGTGGTAATGGGCGTAGTTTCTGAGGCAGATCGTGGGGTAAAAAGTGCCTGGTGAAGGTTGGCCACCTGCCCTTAGCCTTCCCTTCCACTGCACGCTTTCTGCGGGTGGAAGGCAACGGGAGAGGTTGTTGTATACCTTGGAAGGCTCTAGCAAGGTGGCAGAGGGCAAAGACGAGCACCACTGTGTTACCACCATAGGCATGACCTCGTGGCAGCAAACAAGTCCTTATTTTATGTAGGAAGGTCAGGTACGGCATCTCTGTTTCCATGGTGCCATTTGACGAATTCTTTCCTTAATAATTGAGTGCTGGCCTGTGAACCAAAGGTTCCCCAGTTTGATTCCCAGTCAGGGCATGTGCTTGGCTTGTGGGCCAGGTCCGCACTTGGGGACACGGGAGAGGCAACTACATATTGATATTTCTCTCCCTCTCTCTCCCCCTCCCTTTCTCTAAAGGTAAATAAATAAAAATCTTTAAAAGAAAAAGAAAAGAAAATTGATGAAGCCCTTGAATAGTTTTCAGAAATGATCTTTCTGATTGTCTTATTAAAAAATAAAACATGAAGCAAAAGGTATCAGGGTATATGGTCAGAAAAGGTATACATAAAACAAAACAAAAAAACCTATTTTATTTTTTTGCTTCCCTTGAGAACACATTAGAAAACATAGCTATAATTGCATGTTAATCTAAATTTTGTCAACTGTAATACAAAATAGGCTTATCCCTCTAATTTTAGTCCCATTTTTTTTCAAGGTAAGGAAAGACCCAGTCAGATTTTTACTGTCTTCTCGCCTCAGCCAAATCACATTCTATGAAATGATGGTCCTTGTTCAGATGAATTCACGGTAAAGTTACTGCCGCCCCACCCTGATCCCGGGCCCAGGTAGTCTCAGCTAACGGGGGCCCGTTCTCACCTCAGTCTGGCGAGTGAAGCTAGAGTGAGGGGGTTTTAGCAGGTGTTTGCAATTCTTCAGCAGCCGGAAAGAGTAAATGTATTGTCTAAGCAGGCCACGATATTTATTCTTAGTGGTCTCCGAGAAACTCTCCCAAGGAATAATGTCTTCCTTGTTTCCAATTGCTTTCGAAATCATGGCCATCCAGAGACCATAACTTTTCATTGCTTACTAATGTTTTTATTGCATCCTAATTGAGATTTTATTTAATATAGCCTTAAAATGTAATATTTATCAGCTAATCTGGTGCAGGCCATAATAGTTGAATACTTAACAGTAGTATCTAATGCTTGAGAAAAATTGCACAGAGTACCTCAGTTGTATATAATAAGAGGCACTTTTTTTTTGGTCTTTTGGCAGAAATTGCAGCATAAAAAGGATCAGTCACTTCCCTCATCACCACGAAGCAGTCCTATAACTAGGGAAAGCAGAACGGGCCTGGCATTCAGGGTACAGGCTGGGAAGATGGCAGCCTCTTAAAGACAGTTCTTGTCTCATCTTATTTTTAATGGACTTTATTTCTTAAGAACAGTTTAGAGTTACAGAAATGCCTAATCCACTTCACCATTCAGTTTTAACTCCCAGATTCCGCCCCCTCTCTCTGCAGACGTCGTCTCATCTCCCAGAGATCGTCCTTGGAGACCCTGGAGGACATTGAAGAAAACGCCCCGCTACGGAGGTAAGTTCCTGGGACTGCTTTCATATGTGTCGAAATAGCTTGCTGTACAAGATCACTGCCAAAGTTCGCTTTTTTTTTAAGTTCTTGATCTACAGAATTAAATTTTGAAAATGACCTTCTGATCCCCAGACTCATAGTTTGGAAACCCTCACCCTGAGGACCCTTAAAGTTAAAAAACTATTAAATTATATTTACACATTGGATAGCCAGTTTGCATGGACTTTGGGTGCTGTTTTCCTTTCATTTTTGAAAGCTGCTGCTTGCTAAAGAGCCCATCATGGCCCAGCTGTCCCCAGTGCAGTGACATAGCAGGCACAGTGCTGGGCTTCATCAGGAGGTACCCACGGTGGCACTGTGTATGGCCAGTTGCTGAGGAAACTCTATTAGGAGAGGTGTGAGTGCTCCCTGAGGGCTAAAAGCGTTCCATTTCTCCCTCTGGATTCCAAAAGTGCTTGCAAGGCATCTTTTTTGGGGTGACAGTAATTGCTGAGCTGTGCTATGCTTCTGACTGGCAGCCTTCCATCCTCCAATCCTACATCTCTCTGCTGGCCCCATGTGAACCCGGTCCAGCCAGGCCAGCCTTGGAGCAGGAGACAATACCCATACACTGCATCCTTTTCAGTCCTCACTGCAGTCCGAGCCGGGTGGCCTGTGTGGGGTTGGAGGGCTCCTCCCTGCAGAAGATGCTGAGGCAAGATGGGATGCTGGCTTTACAGGGCACATGTGCAGGAGGTGGAGGGGGGAGCCCCGCAGGAGGATGTGTTCCCCTCAACTCGTACCAGCTCCTCGGGAAAACCCACATCTGCACCCCTTGTGCTCTGGCTGCTGGCCAGGATTTGGGAGTTCCAGGCTCCTTGCTTGGAGCCTGGGAGGGTGCTGATGTGGAGGGAGGAATCTCACCCTGGAGCTGGCTCCTTCTCTGCCAGGAACCTCACTCCCAGGTTCTAGGTCTTATGCACAGACCCCTGGGATGAAGGATGGAGCACAGACAGGCCTGGGTCTGGTCACGAGTGTCAGGTGACCCTGAACCTCATCACTGACTTTATTCCAAAGAGAAGGCCAGGGCCAGACCGTTTGATTTCCACCTTTGAAGTCTTTCTGAACACATTTGTAACCTCTGGGCCCATCCTGGGGTGACTGGCATGTAGCTGCGTGACAAACGTGGTGTGGGTGCAGGTGCTCTCCCATCTGCCACTCTTTCGAATGCTGGGAGCAGGGCTGTTTCCTTGAAGGAGGCCCACAAAACGCTGCATTAAAAGTCAAATGAGGGAGCTGGCTCTGGTCCACAGTAATCAGCAAGAGTGAAAGAGAAACGTTCTCAGGTGGCACCAAGTGGCTTTGGCATTTGAGCAGGTCCCACAAATGGAAAAATCAATGAGTAGAGCTGAAAAGCCCCTGGTGTTCCTGCAGACTTGGAGAAACCACAGTTGTTAGGGCAGTGTGGCAGCTGTGAGCCAGGGGAACCGGGTGAAAGAAATGTCACTCCCTCTTTAGGGACTCTAGGTGGTTACAGAAGCACCGAGGAGACACTGGGCACCAGGTTCCTGGTCCCCTGCCCCATCACCCCTGTACCTCTCAGGATCCGCCCAGGCTGGCCCTTTGCTCCTACCCCTCATGCCTCTGACTGCACAAACAAGCAGAGTAAAAATGGCTTCTCCCCTTCAACTATAACTTCATCCAGCTCTCACAGACTACTATGTGTAATTTCCAACAAACCTTGTACAAGTACAGCTTTTAAAAATAAGTCAGAAATCAAGGGAATATAGACAGTTTAAGAAGTCTTTATTTTCCCTAATGGACTTTTTTTTTAACATTAAAAACAGTTTAGGAGTCAGGGGACTATCACTTCTTGGCCTGATTCTTCTACTAACTGGTTACGTGGCCTTGGAAATTTGCTTAGCTTCTCTGGGGCCTCAGTTTTCCCATTTGTAAAATGGGAGGGGCAGATTGGCTGATTGCTGAAGTCCTTTCCAGCTCCTCCAGTCTGTGAAGTTAATATACCATTACTGACACTGAAATATTTGAGGAACTGGGGTGGGAAGGCAATTAACCCAACTTGCTTTAAAACTCAGTGCATTGAGCAAATGGCTCCAAGGCATCTGTTAAAAACCTTTTGCATAAGTAAGTGTATCTGTAATCAGTGCTAACAAGAAAGAGCCGATCCTTCATTAAAATTGCTTATAATTTAATTGTATCCTAATTTAATTTTGCATCACTTAAAATGTATGTTTTTAAATGGATATTTACACATTAATTCAGGCACTTTCAAAATTAATTCCTTCTTTGCTTAAGCTGCCACAGCTTGAGGGCTCAGCCTTCTAGTTTCCTTGGCAATTGTTGCTAACGCCACAGTGCTCTTCAAGCATTTCTGAGGTTCCCTGGTGGTTTAGTTGAATGACACACACACACACACACACACACACACACACACACACACGCAGGAAAAACAGCTCCTGGAAGGAGGAGCCCATGCAGCTAGAATTGGATGCTGATAGCAACACACGGCACCTTTGTTAGGTTCTGCTTTCAAGAGTCTTGCTTTTCTTTCACAATTTGTTAGTAAGTTTCCTGTGTCCACTTAAAACTCCAGGAAGGAGTTTTTTCAAGGAGAGGGTTTGCAGACCGAGCTGTTTCCACCTGCCTGGTGGTTACCTAATGCCCTAGAAATGAGGACCTAGGACTCCCCACTAGGTGTCTAGAAAACCATCAGTTCATCTGCAGCAAATGTGACCGCCATCATCACCTGCTGCAGTTTTCCAGCCTGTCTGGGTTGGTGGGTGCTGGCTGGTGCTCTGTTAAGTGATTACTGCTCCTTCTCCTTCTCCTGCTTTGGCTGACACCTCCCTACGGCTCTTTTGCTGGTTTCCAGTTCCTGCAGAAGCCTGGGGGATTTTGTTCTCAAGCCTGAATGGTGGCAGCACCTCTCTCTGCAGGCACAGGAGGCAGGGAGCAGCTCAGGATCATCCCTCATCTGGTCTGGGATTGCTACCAGCTTCCCCGTGCTGGAGTAGGACTGGGAAGGTACCCTCACAGTCTGGCTCACTGTCTGCGGCCCCAGACTGGCTGGTCCAGGAACCTCTCCTTGTGGGGGGAAGTGGGGTTAGGATGTGCGGACACTCCTGGACACTTGGCCCTGTCCAGAGACTAACGGAAGCACACCTTTACACTCTCAGAGGTTCTCCCCTCTCCAGTGACCATGTGTTTCTAGAATCTTCTGTGTGTTAGAGAAGCAGTTAGGGACCTTGAGAGGCTTGCAGACTCAAGCATTCGTTTCTGGATATAGAGCTGAGGCAGTTCGGGGTTCTGGGTCTGCTCCAGAGAGCTGCCCCGAGAAGGCAGAATGAGGCTGTACCAGGGCTGTCCAACCTTTTGACATCTCTGGGCCACACTGGAAGAAGAATTGTCTTGGACCACACATTACATACATTGCAACACATAATCACAAAATCTCATAATGGTTTAAGTAAATTTACGGTTTTGTGTTGGGCTGCATTCACAGACACCCTGGGCCACACGCAGCCCATGGCCCTCAGGTCAGACATCCCCGGCCCTTTGAGCCCAGCAAGACTAAGTCTGGGTTTAGAAGCGTAGAAGGGGGGTGGGATTGGTGGGTGCTGCCTGCTATTCAAACCCTGCCTAAAGTCCACAGGAAACATCTACTAAATGCCCTCAGGCAGGGCTCTGCAAGTCTTTAACTGAATCAATTTAAAATTAAGGACTCAGGACCCTTAATAAGGACTGCAGCTTTAACAACAGAGGTGCACGCAGTAACAAAATATTCACCCTTTGTAACTAACGTTCTATTAATGATCACAACATCTGGTGTGTATATGTGAATATTTACATGTATGTACATATGTAGGAATATGCATATTTGTATTTGGCCATGTCACATGACAGTTTATGAAGCTCTTGTGCACATCATTGCATTGAATCTTCACAGCAGCATCTGGGAAGGAGTATTACTAGTGATAAGTCAGAGTCCATAGTGAGTTTGGGGGTGTGGGCTGGGGGGAGCATGGTGTTTGCTGAAGCGTCTTGCAGGGCCACACAGGCTGTGGACCCTGCCCTGCTGTAGTGGACATGACCAGAAAGGGTGCCTTCCCTCCTCAAGACCCAAGGGCAGGAGAGTTCCCTTTTTCTGATGAAAGTCACTGAATATCTGATGTTATGTCTTTGCTTTGGCTGGCGCTAATTCACTTCGGTGTGATTGTTTTCAAGTTAAATTACATTTGAAGGGGCTGTTTCTTATGAAAAAATAACTTTCAGTGCCCTCTGGGAAAGGGCTTCTAGAAGGATTGAGCCTTCCTAGAGGGCGGGTGAGGAGGTTTGGGGGGATGCGCACACTGCGGTCTGGACCAGGGGCGTCGCCTCGCTTCCCTTGGACTGGGGCCTTGGGAGATTGTAGAGACTGGAGCTGCTCTGCAGGTCTGTGGCCCAGTCCATTCCCTAGTCCTGTGCCCGACCTGCCCCACACCCGACCTGCCCTCACCTGCACCTCCTTGTCAGGTCACCTTGTTACTCTTGAAGCTTCAAGTTCGAAACTGACTGAACTTGGAGAACAGCCTCCCCGCCCAGACTACACTGTGGCTTTGGGCAGCTGGGCACAGCTCTCTATCACTTCCCCTCTGAAATGTAAGTTCTCAGGTCCCCACTTCTGATGGCTCAATCACCCCCAGGGGCCCACGGTCGGAAAGGTTTGTAAGTAATGAACTTCAGCAGCCAAAACCAAAATAGAAAAGTCACAACTCCCTTTTCAAGAAAAGACTAAACTTCAGACTCTTGTTGGTTGGATTTTTAGGTTTGTTTTTTTTTTAATTTTTTACTTCTTATTGTTGTTGCAGCTATGTGACTTACAGTTTGCCAGGTAACTGAAAAAATCCCCACAAGCGCGATCCGTTCAGCCCCTGGTCAGGGTGTTGGTCCTGCCGTGTGAGCACACGCCCTGTATTCCGGTGGGGGAGAGAACTGAATCCAAGTCATTTGTGCAACAAGTATTTATTTAAAATTTATCTTAAAAACAAAAAAGAAAAGCAAAAGCCACAAGCTGGGTCTTTCACAGTGAAGCTGTGACTTCCCGGCGCAGTGGAGAACGGAAGGTAGCTCAGGCCAGAGTTCTGCTGCAAATGAAAAATGATTCAGGGTTGTTTTTAAACTGAATTTTCCAGTGTTGTTTCCCCTCTAAATTCTTTAAATTTATAGTTTTCTGTTTCCATTACCTGTGTTGATACAGGAGAATTCTTTCTGAGATGACAAGAAAGAATAATGTCTTCGGTATCCGGGTAGGTTATGTTATTATAACTGAGGACAATAGTTTTCATTAGCTGGCTTTTCAGATACCCATATAAATTATTATCGGTATTATCAAGGAAGTTGTCTGTCGTTGGGTTTTTTTAAAGCTTCCTTGCTTCCAGCCATATTGTCCTCATTATCCTTGGGGTGACTCAAACCATGTGTCTGGTCTTTCCTTCCTGTCTTTGTGTGGAGATGTCTCAGCTGTCCAGCCAGCAACTGACTGTATTTTTTAAATGACTTTGTTTTTCAGATGTCGAACTCTCTCAGGTTCGCCCAGACCAAAGAACTTTAAGAAGATTCATTTTATCAAGAACATGAGGCAACACGATACAAGGAATGGCAGGTACTACACTGGCCGAAGCTGCCCATCACAGTTGTGGGAGGGGGTAGGTCCCGTGGGGAAGGGAGGCAGAGACCATCTGAATGACCAGACCTCAGCCAAGTGCAGCCCACGCTGCTGGGATGAACAGGATCTCCTGTCACCATCCCAAATAGATTGTTTCCACCCCATTCCTGCCAGATCATCCCAAGAAATCTATAGGAAATAATGCTTCCTAACACTGACCAAAGGTGAGATTTTTAGATTAACCACAAACTAAATTTTTAATAGTATTCAAATATATTTTTATAGAAAACTTTGAACAGAAAAACAATTGAGGATTTTTATGTTTTGTTTTTTTCCTTTTTTTCTGCTTTGTTGGGTTTTGTTTTCCTTTTTCACCAGAGCTTTGTGCTTTGGTCAGGAATTGTCCCATCAGGTCTGTGCTTGAACTTGGGTTTTGTGCTAGCTTTGACGGCTTTAGGAGAGTGGAGTCATGACTCTGCCAGCAGATTCCTCCTGGGCACTGACTCACATTCCAGGGCTGCTCACATGTGGGGTGTGTGTTTCTCCAGGAAAGTGCTAGCAGATGAAAATTATTATGGTTGAAAGTTCTGTGACCTCGATGTTAAAACTCTCCTGGTGGCAGACGCATGCGAATCATTGTTACTGGTGAGTTGGTGATGGAGCGGCTGAGTCCATCCACGGCAGCCCCGGGCAGCACTGGAACGGAGCTCCGAGACCTCTCCGGTCCCCTGCTGCTCTGGGCCTCTTGTGCCCCTTAGGGACACCTTCTGTCTGTTAATCTGTGGCTTGGATAGTGGCGTTCCCTGAACACGAGAGTTAGAGACACCACCCAGAGCCGAGGACCTCTGAGAAAACCACTCCGTTGGATCTCCTGATTCACACAAGACCACTAATGCTCTAATCTCCACCAGATGAAAATTGCTACAAGGTCCTTAGACTCAGGGAATGACTAAGGCCCAGCCTTACTGTCACTCGGTGTAAAACACACTGTGCAACGTGAACAATAATGATGACGGTTTTTAAGATTTGTTTCCTTGACGTTTATACCTCCTTTTTAAACCTTAGTTGAATAGAGAACATAATCTTATGGCTATTCGATGATTTTAGAAGAGCAAAATTGAGCTTTCTCGTCAAATAATTTTTACATAGTCAGTGTATATTCTTATTTTAAGTACAGAGCTTTTAGTTCAGATGTACCCAGCTGTCATTTGTTAAACAGAATATTCTGAATCTCTCTGTCTCCCCCTTCCTCTCACTGTTACAGTTCTTGTGCCTCACTCATTTAACCACTGCACTTTTTTTATCTTTTGTGGTTCTTAATTACTGAATCCAAACCTTACTTATGTCATGTTTAGTATAATTATTCATCATTAATTTACCTTTGTGTTTTTACCCATGATCTCTTTAACCATAAAATGAGCATAGAAAGCCTTTCATTGCTACATAAAATCAGTGACGAAGACAAAGAACTGGGCTGCATGAATAGAATTCCCCACCTCCAAAGGCTGTCAAGGGTACAAAGTCGGATAATCACTTGGCAAGTTTTGGCAGTGAAAGGATGAGCTAATAAAGATTTGGACTAATGGGATTGCCAGTGTCCATTACAAAGCCACCTTCCTCGGCAAACCCTTGACCCAGGAACAATATAAACAGTCCGCACAGCAGGCAGTTGCTGGCAGTTTTGCTGAAGAAGTTTTGGAGGGAGCCAGAAAAGACCATTAGCTTATCTGAGGATCTGAGAACTGGAATTAAGGACAGGAAAGCAAGCTCTCTGACCTGCTGTGGGAACCACAGGCTGGAGGCTGTGGGGATGGGCAGTTGTAACTGCCCAGGTGAGACGGCTTCTCATGCCAACGGAGGATGAAAGGACAGGAGGTGCTCCCCTGCCGCCTCTGGTTTATGAGCAAGGATGGATTGTCCTTAGATGAAAGAAGGAGCCAGGAAGAAAATACCATTTCTGAGGTGACAGAAGGACATTGTGGTTGAGCAGATGAATGGGAGGATGTGACCCAGCCTTGCGGAAAGGAAAGGAGAATTGCCCCCACGGGAGCAGGTGGGAGATCGCCCCATGGAGGTGGCTGGGGACATGTGGATGAGCTCCGCTCCAGCAGTGGTGGGTGGGAGGGGTCCTGGTGTAGCTTTTAGAAGTCCCAACAAAAATTATTTGACAAGAGAGCTCAATTTTGCTCTTCTAAAATCACTGAAGAGCCATAAAATTATGTTCTCTATTCAACTAAGGTTTAAAAAGTAGGTATAAACTTCAAGAAAACAAGTCTTAAGGTACAGTGGCTGGGGAGGGGTCTCCGATTCCCCCCTCCGGTGTCCGGAGGCATATACACAGATCCACACCAGAGGACACTCCTGCAGTGAGTGTCAGAGTCCCTCGACTAGGGTGTGCCTGCCCATGTTGGGGAGGAACAAGGCTTTCTGGAGAAGGCTGGAGGTATTGGTCAGAGATCTCAAAGGTCTGGACTGAAAACAGAATCGTCTGAGTACTGCTGTGTTTGCCTCTTCTTGCACCCGGGGAGAGAGACTGAAAGGAGCCTGCTCCAGCCCCGACTCCTGTTCCCTCACACACTGCACCCAGCTCCCAAGTCTCCTTGTGACCCCTGACCAGCACAGTCTGACCTCTCAGGCTGCAGGCCACCCTGGGCCTGCTTGCTGCTCTGGCTCTGAAGACCCTGGTGATGAGGTTCCTCCGTTCCCCAACCAGCTGACTCTGTGGCAAAGGCACAAATGTTGAGGAGGATTCGGGCTCCCGTCTCAGCAAGGACCAGAGGGCAGCTGACATGCCAAGAGGGAAGCATCTGTCTCAATACTCAAAACCTGACCTGACCGTGAGTGTTAAGTGCAATATAAGATTGGAAGAGAAAAAGATGCTAAAAACTGTGAACCAAACACAATAAATGACAATCCTTGTGTTATTGGAAAAACAAAACAAAAAACGTAAGTGAGCCTCATGATTGTATAGTCAGGGTAGCTGCTCAGAAATAACCCTTGAGGGTTATTTCTCAGCCATCCCTGCATTCACCCAGTTCTGTCTGCAGCATGAGACAAAGCCCAGCCAGCGTGTGAGGTGGAAGTGAGCCTCTGCAGTGGAAGGTGTGGTACTGATGGAGGATGGAGTCTACTTCAAGCAAAAACAGTCTTCATCTGTTTAGAATCAGTGAATTTCACAGGGCTGGACTGGGGACCTGCTGGAAGGCTTTGTGCATGACTGTCATGCAGAGAACCAAGCTGAGGTGTGGTCTGGAGCCATGCTCTGGGCCAGGTGGAGCTGAGGGGGGCACGAGGATGCCAGTGGCGGGCTCAGCGTGAACGCTGCAACTTCACTGTTACAGCAGACGGGTGATGAGTTCTGTACTGGCCCTGCTGGGCACTGTATCTCCTAGCCAGCAGGCAAGGCAGCAACAGGAGCTGCCGCACTCCAGTTCTTTTTCTGCCTGAACACGAAGACAGGTAGGCAGTGGGAAGTCACATCACACTTGGTAGTTGGAAACGAAAGCAATGCATGGCTGGGTTTTAGGAAGACAGATCTCAGACAGTTCAGACTGAGAAGGGGATTCTTGTGGCAGCGACCATATTGTCAAAAGGAATTATAAAGTTGGGAATGTCATAAGGTAATAGTGGGTGTATTTATTGAGTGCTTGCAAGGTGACAGCTCTCAGTACTTGATAGGCTTTGTTTCATTAACTCAAGTCAGTGTTTGAGTAAATGAGTGGAAAGACCTTTTGAATGAGTTTCAGTGTTTAGAACTATATCTTGAAAAATGGAAAGAATTTAGAAATATACATATTCTCAAAACAGTCCTATGAGGAAGCTATTATTATTGTTGTGTTGGGTAAAATAACGTTCCCACCTCACTCCATGCTGCCAAAGATGTCATGTCATATCCCCGGGATCTGTGAACAGTTAGGTCGCGCGGCAGCGGGGAATTGATGTGACTTGTGGAGCTGGGATTGCTGATCAGCTGCCCTTAAAGTAGCAGGATCATCCTGGAGTATCTGGGTGGGCTCGCTGTAATCATGAGGGTCCTTAAAAGTAGAAGAGAGAGACAGAAAGTCCGAGTTACGGTGATGCATTGGCAGCTTTGAAGATGGAGAAAGGGGCCATGGGCCAAGGAATGCAGCTGCCCCTAGAAACTGGGAAAGGCAAGAAAACGATTCTCTTCTAGAACCTGCAGTGGGAACCAGCCCCACTGCTGCCTTGACTTTAGCCCTGCGAGACCCTTTTCAGAGTCCTGACCTCCAGAACTGTAAGAAAATAAATTTGTGTTACTTTAAGTTCCTAACTTTGTGGTAATTTGCAGCCGTAGGAAACTAATGCACTCCTTACCCCAGTTTACAAGGGCGGAAACTGGAACACGTAGCCAGAAAGTGGGGGGTGGACTATGGATCCAGGCATCAGATTCCAAAGCTCCTCCCCATAATTAAAGGGTGGGGTAGGGAATTAAAATTCATTCACTGTGAGACAGCATGTTGTAGTGGATTTTGAGAAAACTCTCCATTGAATTCTGATTTTTAAAAATCATTAGCAAAAGGCCAAGGACTGATAAAAGAATGGCAAACGAGTGAAAATACTGTGAGGAAGACTCAAGTCCAGAATGAACCAAAGGTTGATAGAAAGGAAAGAAAATTGGAACCTTTGTATTTTGCTGATGGGAATGTAAAACGGTGTAGCCATTGTGGAAAGTAGTTCCGTAGTTCCTCAGAAGGTTAAACATAAAATTACCATATGACCCAGCAGTTCCCCTGCCAGGTGCACACCCAAAATAATTGAAGAGGGATTCAAACAGATCCTTGTAGCCAATGTCCACAGTACCATCATTCACAATAGCAAAAGGTGGAAACAACCCAACTGTCCATCAGCAAATGAATGGATAGACAAGATGTGTTGTGCTTACAAAGGAATGCTATGCAGCCACGAAAAGCGAAGAAGTGCTGATATGTCCTGCAGTGTGTATTAACCTTGAAAACATTGTGTTGACTGAAATAAAC